TTGAGCAATGATGCATACCATTTTGCTGGCATGGACACAGTGGAGCCTGAGAGTGATTTGGCCAGTGCTGAGCATGCTCTTGCATGGCTACAGTGCTGAGCGGGTGCTCTTGAGCAGGCGAGTAGCACGGGCGCAGTGCTGAGCGGCCATCTGGCTGGCATTGACACAGTCCTGAGCGCGTGCTCTTGCGCGGGTGTGCTTACCATTTGGCTGACATGGACACAGCGCTGAGTGAGCGGGCTCTTGGGCGGGTGTGCTTTACGTTTGGCAGAGCCCAAAAACTGCAACTTTTGGGAACGACAGTTCAGAGGGATGCAACGGGTTAATGGCTCTTCCTGCAGTCATGGATATGGTTGCCGATTCACAGGGTGAATCTGGACAACGACATATCCACGTCTGCAAAATCATGGAAACAGGTCGCTATTCGTCAGGAGTCGAACCAGAGGGACTCTCCGCCAAGGGGATCATCATCTTCGCCAGCGACCCCCAGGGCGTCGCAGAAGAGCGCGAGGTCGTCATCGAAAGGGGGGAGATCCAAATCGCCCACAAGTGCCGAGGTTCGCGCCATCATCAAGGAGAAGAACAAGATGGAATCGGAGATCGGGGAATATCAGAAGACACTTGATGAAATGTCGACGGCAATGGCAAATCTTCATCAAGAAGACTACCTGGAGGCGTGTTCGATCACATTTTAGGAGGTCATACCACTCACGACCTTGAAAAAAATGTGTCCTTGACATTGCCCGTTTTCACGGCCAAACGGTTGCAGTGCTGTGTTTTCACGTTTTTCATGTTTTTTCACGGCCGCTTGGCGTTTTTTCACGGCTTTTTCACGCTTTTTCACGGCCATGTGGCCCTTGTCGGATGTTCACGCCCAAATCGTTTTTTCACGTCCAAATGCCTGTTCGGCCTTTGACCGCCTAAAATGCGATCAAAAGCACCTCTAGGTATGGGAGCACCATCCGGATCCAGGAGCTGGAGAGACGATGCGAGATTGCCAGCAAGCAATCAGGGCATCTTGTGAACCATCACCAACACCATATGGCAGAGGCCTGGCGCAAGTTTGAGGCGGAGGCCCAACAAATGCGCGAGGCGGAAATGAACGCATATCAATACGGGGAGAAGAAGGACATGGAGTCGAACGCTATGATGCAGCAGATGCGACAAGCTGAGGGAATGATCATGGAGCAGAAACGAGAGATTGCAATGATGAGATCCTACATGGCAAGCGAGAAGACGGCTGCGCAGGAGTCAGCAATCCATGCAAATCAAATTCATCGTGAAGCTTCAAAGCAGATTTCCGCTTATCAACAGCAGATCAGGGGGATTGAATCGTCGACATCAATCGAGAAGTTCAATGAGGAGGAGACGGTTCAAAGCCTGAAATCACAGCTGGCACATGCGCTGGTCAAGCGTCCCGAAGTATACTCTATGGAGGACACCAGGGAGCAATTAATGACGAGACTGAATGACGTAACGGCATTTGCGGAACAAGAGTCAAAAAGAGCGGAATGCCTCCTTCGAGAGAAGGAAGAGATCGTCAAACAGTATGAATCCGACGTGTCAAAGAAGGATCAGATGATTGCTATAGAAGGTGGTCATCGTCAGGATGCAATCATTGAATTGGCCCAGATTAGGGAAGCGACGCAAGAAGAACGATGCACGATGGACGAGAAGTCGAAAGAGGTTGAGTTCTGGAAGTCGACGGCTAAAGGGATGTACGATGAGTACCTCGAGGAGATGCATAAGCTCCATGAACATCTGAAAAATCGGGAAGCGATGCTCAAGCAAGAAGAGAGTTTCGTTCATCAGCTCGATGCGGATAATGAGGAACTCAGGACATTCAAGCGGCAGGAGATAGAGGAGGCCTCGAACAAGAAAGATGAACATCGTGAACAAGGAGTAGTGAAGCGCCCTGAGAAAGGACCCCAACTTAATTCGGTTAGGGAGGACAAGAAGATGGCCGGGATATTCCCGTCATCATCATCTAATTCGATCCCTAATTCGTCACTAGTGCCGGGTTCGATTCTTTTTCCGTCTTTTGGTGATCCAACGATCAATGTACACCTATCACACGCAAGGGGTTTTTGGGCTAGTCCCACAGTCTACTACAACTGGTGGTGGTGGTAATGGAGGAGGGAACAACGAAAATACGCCTCCATTGCATTACAATGCATTCTCGTCCAGCGGAAACCGACAGGGACCGGATCATCGTCATCTGAGTCTGGCGGGTGGCGGAGGAGGACCTCCTGATGTACCGCCCGATGATGAGGGCGAGGATGATGATGAAGACGAGGAAGAAGGAGATGACAATCGGTCACGGAGATTGAGGGATGATTTAAAAACGAGAGGCCGAGGATATCGAGGAAAGAGGCCGAAAGGGTATCCATTCCCACTTGGCCAAAGATCCATCAGCTCGATAACTGGAAAATGCAACTGCTGATGAACGTGCTGAGCGCATGCGCAGATCCGGATACCGACACATGGACAAGATGGTTGGCTCAGGCTCTCGGGTTAAACCCAGACCTCAATTTCCTGAACGACTCCGGCGGCGACAGGGATGGCCATGGGCATGCAGAACATGCTGAGACAAGCACCAGACGAGGCCAGAGATGTATACCTCGATGCTACATACACGACATTCGGAACTACGACATCAACAAGGGTGATCGTGAAGGGACGAGAGCTAGTCGCATTGGTCATGCAATCATTCAGAACATCAGATCGGACAGACCTTGTCTATCACATCGAGCACTTATTCAACCTCGACTTTCCTGGCGACAAGAACTTGGTTGTGTTCAGGAACAAGTGGTATGATTTGCTGCTGAAGATGAGGAGCGAAGACAGGCCCAGTCCATTGGCACTGAGAGATATCCTGCACAGGAAGATCAAAGGGAGCAAGAAGATGGAGTTTGGTCTCAACGCCTACCACAGGCTACGACAAATATCCACAAAAGTCGTATGAATTCCTGTTGGCTTT